CGCCCCGTCTGTGGCGTCGGGCCGGGGCGCTCAGGGCTGGGTCCCACCGCGTCCTGAAGCCGTGAGGTCGAGGCCCGCACAGTCCAGGTCTCGGCTGGCCTCACGGGCTTTTCTTCAGCCCAGCCTGAACCTCCTGGGTGTCAACAGCTGCCTGTCGTCTCCTGTCCTCCTGCCACACCTCCACTGTGAGGATCCTGGGTCTGTCTTCTCAGGCACGTCCCCACAGGCGCTGGGGGCTGTGGTTGGGTCCCCCTCGAAGCCATCTCACCTCACAGTGCTCTAGCCCCAATCGTACTGTTAACAGACACTTTCCCTGCAAGGGGCATGGGGAGAAGACTGGGCACTGTCTCCTAGGTGTGGCCTATCACATGCCAAGTAATGGGGCATAATCGGTCTCCTTGATCTATGGGCTCTGCTCCAGGACAGTGTTGGCCCTCATTGCCGCCAGAGCCAGCTCAGCTCACTGCCCTGGAGCATTCCCCACACAGCTGTTCCCCAGCCAGGCACTCCTGGTCTCTACTGGTGCTGAGGGCTAGTCCTTCCCAGGGGCAGCAGTCCCCATGATAACCAGGCTTTGTGACACAGAGACTCCCTTGGGTTGTATCAAAAGACTTCATTCACTTTTTTATCCTGACTGGGTGGTCTGTAATGCGCCCACCAAGGTGTCACCCTCACTGGCTTCTCTTCTGATCCTGACGGACAACCTTTGACCCAGCCTATTGCCCAGCCGATACAAGAGCTCCACATACACAAGATGCTGCTTCACAGAGAGGACGGTATCATTGGTGCTCATGTGGACAATCAGTCAGGGGTAGTAGGCTGAGGCATGGGTGAGCCTCAGCAGTGTTCTTGCAACGTGTTAGATCCAAGCTCCTAGCAAGCAAAAAACCCAGACAGCAAGTCAGGTTGGCAGACAGGGTCCTCCATCCCTCACAGCAGTGGATCTCCTTCATCACTCATTGCTCTCCTTCACTACATTCTCCTGGAGGTGCTCCTGTGTGGTTCAGGCTTGGCCAACTGTGATAAGCTTTTCTCCCATCATTTCTACCAGGGCATAGAGCCTATACTCCAGTTGCAGATCTGCAGATGGAGAAACAGCTGTCCTCATGCTTCTAGATGTCACAAGGTTCCAGCCTTTCCCATCATGGGAAACCCTCAATTTCACTACATCCAACCACAGTCTCTAGCTGCCCCTTTTCTGTGCAGTTTTGGCTGTCACTTTTGCAGGGTCTCTGGGAAGACCCTGTCAAACTCTTTTTCATCTTCCCTGGTACTGCACAGTCTGCTGGACTGCTCCTCAAGCTCCTTGGATTGGCAATGACTCCTCACCATTGCACGCATCCAGCAAGCAAGGGCACCACCTCTGCAGGGTGGCCCCTGCAGCCCCAGGCCCCTGAAGCTGTAGCCCCCCTACTAGGTCTGGCTGGGATGGAGTTTCCTCACAGCACCTCATATGATGCCATGCTTAGGATTTGTGGCCAAACAGCGTTGATAACACACCAATGTTTTAGCTGTTGCTGAGCAGCATTTGCACACTGTCATGGCCTTCTCAGTGTCTCACTCTGCTCCCCCCAGCAAGCAGGGTGGAGGCAGGGAAGAGGCTCAGGAGAGGTAGGACAGCTGACTCAAATTGACCTGAGAGATATTCCAAAGCACATAACATCATGCTCAACAATAAAAACTGAGAGCATAGTCTTTCCAAAGTAGCCATTGCTCGGACACTGGCTGGGCATCAGCAGTCTGCCTGTGGGAGATGGTGAGTGATTGTATGGTGGGTTTTTTACCTCGTTCCTTCACTTAATAAACCATCATTATCTTGACCCACAATTTCTCTTGCTTTTGCTCTTCTGGTTGTCCCCCCGTGGAGCAGTGAGCTAGCAGCTGGCTGGGGTCAACTCACCATGCCTAAGCTCTGCCTGAGCAGAGGCCTCTGGTGAACCAGGGGCAGGCTCAGTGCTGGGGACTGTCCTGTGGCATCTCACAGCACCACCACCCACTCCCTGCCTTGTGAACAACCCCCTCTCCACCCCTTCTTGCAACATGACAAGTCTGTCTGAATTCCTCCCAATCCAAGTTCAACCAGCTCTTGACTGATGTCACTTCACACTCATACCAAAAGGGCTGTTGGCACAGGCATATGCTGCTTGGGGGTGAGGCTTCCTACTGCCTCTCAGGAGGTCTTTTATCAAGAGACTGTATGCCCACCTTGATACCCCTGTGTGACTGCCCCTTAGCTCATGAGCACTGTCACTGCTGCATGCTTCATCCAGCACGCTGCCCTCACAGTATGAAAGAGGCTCTTGACGGTATGTATTCAAGTACACCAAGGAAAGAAGCTATTGTTTTGGAAAAAAACAACTCTTTTGCAATGTTGTTTACTTTCTATCAAAGTCATAAGACCTCCTGTGATTGCAAAGATTTATTTGAAAACATGATCTGCAAAGCTTCAAACAAAAAGGCAGATTTGCACATGTTAATTTTATAGGAATATACCATGTAAAACATGAATACATTGAAGTTATCTTAGTCCTTGGAGTTGGCAAGACCAAGCAGTTGTTTGAAGAGTCTCAAAAAAACAGATGTAGTAAGGTTAGATTTTGTGTGAAAAATATGGCAGACAATAGTCAGCTAAACTGTCCCAATCAAGTATTTTTTCTACAGAGTATGAATTTAATATTCTATTATGCAGACTATACTCACTATATGCTGTTCTGAGGGTGTTGTTTTGGGATTTTGTTGTTGTTTGTTTTTTTAAGGAAGAAAATTATTTAGTCCACAGGGTGGCTTTCATTTCCAATTACTTCACAATTTACATATTACAGGTTAACGTGTTCTGAGCAAGCAGGTCACCCTTCAAACATAAAATCTATGTAATTATACAGGAATCCTCTCCTAGTAAAAGGGCCTGGGGCCCTGACTTTACAAAGGCTTGCACAAGGCTACAAAGTTACAAGTAAGATTAAGTATTTGCAAGGTGTGAGCTTCATTTATTCAAAATGGTCTATTACAGGCTTCGCACCATTTCTGCAGTGAAATAATTACACGGAAATTCAGGCAAATGTCCTACAGAGCAAGTGCACCTAGCATCAGTGGTGCATCTAGCCCAGTGTTCTGAACATCAGTAAAGGAGATACTATTTAGGAAGAGCTTCTTAGTGTGGTCACTTTCTGGTACTTACCCTGCATCTCTCACTGTATTAGGGATGCTGGAGGGTAGATATCTGCCCATTTCCTTCAGTGTCCACTTACGGATGTGTTTGACATCAATATGAATAATGCCTCCTTGAACCTATGGGGAGCATCCAACTCCCCAACCTCTGGTGGCAATATGTTCTAGAAGTTCACAATCTGCTTTGCAGCAAAGCATTTTCTTTACATGTCTCAAGAACGATCTTCCACTGTTTTCATGAGGTGCCTCCTCATTTTCATACTGTGGATTTAACAACAACTTTGTATCTTTCACGATTTCATAAATCTTGATCAATCGTCTCCCCTGCCTTCTCTCTCTACATTGAACACTCCCAGCCACTATGGCTCACCCTGTAAGGCTGCGGCACCATCCCGCCTCTGCGCCTTCCCTAACCCCTCTACAACCTTCCTGAGCCATGAAGACAAGAACTGATGCAGTAATCAATCTGAGGCTGCGGCAGCGTTTTATATAGCAACCAAACAACTACATCTATCTTGTTCTCAATATTCTTCCTGATAAGGTACAAGGTTTTGTGGGGGTTTTTTGATTGCCACTGCACATAAAGTTGATGAGACAATTTCAGAGAACTGTTTGAGAGCTCTGAGTTGTAACTGCCATTACTAAATTCAGCACAGGGAAAGCTTAGAAATCTAACTGCTTTACAGCACAGGAGCACGTGAAGTCATGTAGTTAGCCACTGAAAGTCCCATCACCTCTGTGAAGATCACTAATTTTAAACAGCTTCAAAAGCACCACCAACCCTAGTTAAGAATTAAAATCTCAAATGAATTTTTAAGTATCTTCAAAGAAAAATAACTTCAAATGAATCATTTTAATTGGAAATACACGACCTGTACAGTCATACTCAATACCTCAGAAAACCAGTGGGAGTTGTCAGCTTTCCATAAAGTAACTGTTTCTTATCTACTGAATCCTGGAAGAGTTTAATGAGAAAAGGAACTGCATTTCCTCTTTATTGTTATCCCAAGTCTGGAGAATAAAATTAGACTTCATAAAATGTTGGCTGATAACATAAGTCACCAAGTAGAAGATTTATAAATATTATGAGATTTTCCTCTGGCAATATTTTAGAAATATTTACTTGTCTTCAGACAAAGTCTACAAGATTTATTACAGAAGCTAAACACATTTTTTTTTTCCCAGTTGCTTAAGTCATTTATAACCATAATAAAAGTTTGCTACTATGAAGCCTGCTTAAATTTGAGCACCATAAGGATGACTTTGAAGCTAAGAGATTGCAGTCTAAGAACTGCACCCTTGATGCTGTGGAACTGGCCACTTGAACATTGCTCTCGCAGTAAAAAATTCCTCCAATATTGTCCATGTGGGCACCCAACACAGCTTTCTGTGTAGGAAGGACTCCAGCATACCAATCACAACCAATTTGAGAAAACTATATATACAACTACTACTAGTAATATAATCAGTAGTATTTTCTGAAGTACCACCTTCCTTCTATTTTCCCTGCACTATATTTTGTGAATGATGTAAAGATTAGGCAAAATAAATACGTATGCACATATATAAGCCCCCTATTTTTATTTCCATCAGTGCGTACGTGCCCATTTTGCATGTTTTCTCCCTATGTGGCACGACGAGGGCCCCATCGGCGAGGCCCGAGAACCTCCCTCGTGGCACCGCACAGCCCACACGCGGCGCCACCTCTTCCTCCGCGCCGGGCGGGCGGCTCCCGCGCCAGCGCAGGTGCGCACCTACCCGCGTAGCTCAGCGCAC